GGCTATCGGAAATAAATTTTTAAATGGTAAACAAATAATAAGACAAAAAGTTACATTGGAAATAAATTTTAGGGGTTGCGTTTTCCACCCCTTACAACCATAGGGTAAACCAAATAAATTTCTGGATAAGTGTCTTTTTGTTAGTACAAAACGTCAGGTTAATTTTAATATTGCAACTTTTTTAGTGCTTGTAAAAAAAAATTGTTATACAAATTGTATGTACCCGCTTTAAGGGGCTGTATCTTAACAAGGGATGCTCCAATGAAATTTCTTCATATGAAAGATCCTATCTTTTTTTCGATGAGGAATCACATCCTTAAATATTTTACACTCATTATGATATAAATTTTGACACACTGATAGTGGGCCACTAGTTCCCACGATACAGATAATTACCACTACAGTTTTCGTCTTGGGGCTAATTTTTTTAATGCATTGCACGTTTTATTTCTAGCTTTCAGGCTCCAAGATGATCTCTACGAAAAAACATTCAAACCTTTAGAAAAAAAACCATGCTGGACAATAGCTCCAGTTCTTCTTCATCCAGAGTCCGAGGGACAAGTGAAACTGAAATCAACCGATCCTCACGACCCTCCTTTGATTTATGCAAATTACTTCACCGATAAAAACAATAATGATATCAAAAGGTTCATAGCTGGTATCAGAATAATCGAGAAACTCGAAAAAACAAGAGCTTTCCGAAGTAATGGAGCAAAGTTGAGCAACATACCCATTCATGGATGTCAGCATCACGAATTACGCAGCGATGCCTACTGGGAGTGTGCACTAAGAACTATGTCGAATACCTTATACCATCAAATGGGTACATGTAAAATGGGACCAAGAGAAGATCCGACGAGTGTAGTTGACAGCCGGTTTCGGGTCCNTAATTTCAGTTTTTTGCTTAATAAAATCGTTATTTTCGGTTAATCTTTTTAATTTTTTTTCAGGGATTTCAAATCAATTTATATTATATTAGACAATGGAAGTCCGAACTCATGAAATACACCACGAAACATTGTCAACCACCTTCAAACAAACGAGGAATGTAAAATGTTAATTTTTGATAGAAAATATAATGAACGAGTATTAATATATCAATCATCATATCATAACACCAGAAAAAAACAGATGCACTATCATGTACAAGAAATTTTATTTTGATCATTAAGAAATGACATTTCAATATATACATACTTGCAGGACTAGCGGAAGATTTTTTCATGAAATCTAATACTTCAACTGCGGAAAATCAAATTTAGGATGTATTTTTTTTGCAAATACTTCACATTCTAATCTGAGAAAAAACATTCGATTTCAAAAGGCATTCAGTTTTTTATCATCCTTACATACCTGCAATGATGCCTTCTCCTTCCCAGCCAAAATTCCGTACTGCATCCCGTACATTTGTTAACGGCATGGTCAGGTACCCAGAGCGTCCTCTGACAGTCGGCGGTTGAACCCTCGTCAACGGCTACCCAAGACAGGTCAGAACGTAGGGATTCCCCTACTGACGCTTGTGTTTCACTAGTACTGCAGACGGACTCATTCACGGAATTCTGTAAATACAGAAAGTAAGGGAAGTGGAGAGAATATATTTTTTCATATAAATAGTACAGATTATTTGAATTTATATTGATGTATTGAATAAAAGTATGTATGATCAAGTAATCTCTTTGAATTTTTCTTAAATTAAACCCTTTCAATTATTCATGTGTATTTATTAGGTTTATTTCTATTAACAATAACACAAGGGGTATCTTAAATGATGTCAATTATTTCAGGTGGTGATTATTTGTCATATTTTATGAGAAAAAGTTCATACATATATAGATTTTTTTTTATTCATTCATTTTTTATTTATTTAAACTTTATCATCTTCAGATTGTGTTTTCAACAACATGAGACCTGTCAAACAAGGTGCGCACATTAACAATACCTTCAGTTTACATTTATAAGATAAAATACATGTAAGAACAAAGCATTCGATAGCATCTGGCACAAGGGTCTTTTATTCAAACTGCATCAACTGGGTTGTCCGAACTATCTAGTACATACAATTAGGAATCTGCTAATTGACAGGAAACTGAGAGTTAAAATACTGAGTAGCTTTTCAGACGAATTTATCCCAGAACAGGGAGTTCCACAGGGTTCACCGCTCTCACCATTGTTATATAACTTATACAGCTCTGATATTTATCATCACCAACAAGGGAATATCAACCACTTCAGGCATGAAGCATATATTCTCCAGTATGCAG